ATGTCTGAGCCTTCTTGCTTCATTGACGAGGGACAAGGCCACCTTCTCGATTTTTTGGTACTTGACCTTGGGTCCTTGAAGTGCTTTGCTCGTAAAATATAATGGCTTATGTACGTCTGGAGTATCGTGAATGAGGGCCACGCTCAGAGCCTCGATAGATACGGCCATGTATAGGAAAAAGGTCTCCCCATCCGTAGGTCACGACAATGCGGCCGGTTGCGAAAGGCTTTTCTTGAGATTGGGGAGGGCTTGCTCGTATTCCTCGGTCCATTCGGAAGCGGCCTCTTTGCATAGAAGTTTGAAAAATGGAAGGGTGTGTTGTGCGGATTTCGCCACAAAATGGGAGAGCGAGGTGAGCATTTCGTTTAGAACTTGTATTGATTTCTTCGAATTAGGTGTAGGGATCTCGGAGAATGCTCGGCATTTATCGGGGTTGGCTTCAATTCCCTGTTTTGTTAGGTAAAAACCTAGGAACTTTCCCGCTTTAACCTCGAACGTTCACTTCTCGGGATTGAACCTCTTTCGACATTGTCTCGCTTGGGCAAAGATATTTCTGAGGTGGGCAGCATGGTCAGTCTCTGCTCGAGATTTGACGATCATGTCGTCCATGTATACCTCGAGCATATCTCTGATCTCGTTGCAGAAGACTTTATTCATCATCCGCTGGTATATCTCCCCTGCGTTTTTCAGACCGAAGGGCATTACGTTGTAGTAATAATTGCCCGAGCTAGTCATGAAAGCGGTGCAGTGCTTGTCGCTCATCACCATCGGAATTTGGTTGTAACCCGAGTAGGCGTCCATGAAAGATAAAATTTTATAGTCGGTCGAGTTGTCGACCAACATGTCAATATTAGGCAAGGGGAATGCATCTTTAGGGCATGCCCGGTTAAGATCGGTATAGTTAGCACACATACGCCATTTTTCATTATTATTTTTAACTAGTACAACATTTGACAACCAGGTTAAATACTTGGCCTCAGAAATAAAATTTGCCTCTAGGAGGCATTTTACAGCACTTTCAACAGCCTCCGCTTTCTCGGGAGACTGCCTATGTCTATGTTGTACTATTTCCCTAGCAGCTGGATCAATGGCCAGTTGGTGGCAGGCAACCTCGGTGTCGAGACTGGGCATCTCTGCAGCACTCCACACGAACAGGTCCATATTCTCCCTCAAGCAAGCCTTGATCTGCTTCCTCGCCAGGTCGGGGAGTCCGGTGTCGATCTTCACACCTTTGTGAGGGTCTTCACCAAGGGGGACGAGATTAAAGTCTCCATCCGGGATTGGTCGGAGGAGTCCTTGCTCGTCGTTGAATGCTTCATCTTGGTCGAAGTGGGTGTCTAATGAAATTTAGTCCACCTTTGGAGGAGCTCTCTGTTCTTCTGTCTTGACGGGTTGTGGCTCTGGTCATTGTGGCTCTGATCATGTCGGAGTAGCTCTCTTGGAGGGTCGTGCTCTAGTGTCGACCGTACTCTATCCCTTTGACGTCGGGTTGAAGCATCTTCGGGCAGCTGCTACGTCGCCCTGGATAGTGGAGACATGTCCTCTCTTTGTGTAGAATTTCATCTTCAGATGGACGGTGGAGGGAACAACGGTCAATTCTTCCATTGTCGGTCTCCCTAGGATACAATTGTAGAGAGACAGGCAGTCGATGACCAGAAACTGCACCTTGACTTGCCTGGGTGCGGTATCCTCGCCAAAGGTGACGAAGAGTTCCACATACCCCCACGGTTTGTAGGTCGATTCATTGAAGCCCTGCAGGTCGGACCCCACGTATGGTGAAAGGTGGGTGTCGTCGAGCTGTAGGGTTCGGAAGAATTGGCTATACATCACGTCGACGGAACTCCCGTTGTCGACCAAAATGCGATGAACGCCAAAGTTAGCCATTTTCGCCCTAACCAGAAGAGGGATGCTTGAGTTAGGGGCCCCTCTGGACAATTCCTCTAGGTAGAACGTGATAGACTCTGATCTGCCCTTAACCCTCTCGAATGTCACCATTTATGGGGGGCGCGTCGACCAGTTCTTCCAGTTTCTTCTTCGTGGAGTTTATAGTTATATCGTTGAACCCCCCGCCATTTATGCCCATGGCAGAGGGGAACCTTTCCCACCTACTGTGCGTAGACAGAGGCTCTTCGGTATCGTCGAGGACGTAGAAGTCCTCCGATCTTGTAACCGAGAATGTTGTCTCGATGGGTATCGTCTCGTCTGATGGTCGGGCATCCTCCTCAATCTCCTTTGTGTCACTGGTATCACGACGAGGGGCGTCACTGCACCGATATTTCCCGAGTCTTCCCCCTTTAATGAGGGTCTCAATAGCATCTTTGAGATGGACACAGTCTTCGGTCAGGTGTCCATTACTTCAATGATATTGGCAGCATTTACTCCGATCAATCTCGGGCTTAGCAAGAGCAGAGTGAGGATGCCTGACGCTTCCGTCCTTGAAATCAGTACTAGCACACTCTGCTAAGATGCGCTCTCGGGAAGCTGTCAATGGAGTATACTCAGCAAATTGCCCAGCGGGCCCTCTTTATTCACGAGGATCCTAAGGTTTTTCATCCATTCTCTTTTCACTTGTTGGTTGATCCACGATTCCTCGAGTCCCGGGCTCTATTGGCCGCTTCCCTATCCTCATAGTCCATAAAGACCCTAGCCTTCTCGAGGAGCGCATCGAATGTTTGTGGTGGTTCGATGCCAACGGCTTTTCTAAACTCCGTGCCCGGGAGGATTCCCCTCTCGAGCAGGTATCTCTTCATATGGTCGGTGCATTGGACCTAGATGGCCTCGCGGTTGAATCGATCAATGAACTCCCTGAGGCTCTCGTCATTTCTTTGGACGATGGCCTCGAGGGCTGCCTCAGTCTTCGGATGTCGACGTGAGGCAGTGAATGAACTGATAAACTGATTTTTTAAATTCCTCCTGGAGGTAATTGACCCCGGGGCGGGGCTCTTATACCAGTCCATCGCAGTTTTTCTCAAAGTCGTGGGGAACAACCGGCATTTGGTCGATCTCCCGATGTTATGATAATGCAGCATCGCCTAGAACCCGTCGATATGGTCGACCGGATCGACAATGTCGCCGTACTCCTTAAGATGGTGAGGTTTCTCCATACCCGGGGGAATGGGTGCTTCCATAATAGCTTGTGATAGGGGACCGCATGGGTCATCTTCGTCGCTTCTGTCCGGAGATCGGGAAGGCGACCTATTATGATGGTGGTCGTGATGACGGTCCTGGTCACGCGGAGGATTCCTCGGGCGATATGGTCGTTTGTTGTTTTCCCTATTCCTGTTTCCAGGGGGTCTTTGCTCTTGACGTAGGTGGACGTGATCATGTCTCCCCGTATCTACGGGCTGATCTCTCTCCAACGCGGGCGTCGCCCGATTGGTCGAGGAGAGGGGCTTCTAGAGGCATCTCGTCTGCGTTTCTGCAGGGCAGATTGGGGATGGTCCTCTGTCTGACGAGGAGTAGAATCATGCCTCCTATGTCTTCTGGGGACTCTCTGAGAATATTAGAGCACCCTTAATCTCTCCCCTTGCGAAAAGATCAAGTAGTTTGTTTTACTTATTTTCGCGAACAGCGCCCTGGTCGTGGCATCAGCACCCACAGGAACGGGGACCTCCTGGAACACGGGCGACTGATAGTTCTGGAGAGGACGACGCTCGTCTTCGAGTCATTGGGATAGTGATGACGAAGAGGCAGTCAGCCCGTCTCTGTACTCTGAGGGGCCGGGCATGCCCCCGACGCGGCTGTTGTTGTTGCTTGTGTTGTTATCGTTACCGGCGTTAAGACCAGTGGGAGCAGCATTGTTGATGTCCGTGTTGCGGTCGGCGACGTTGTTGTTGACGTTGGCGAGATGGACATTCAGGTTGTTTTCTGCCATGTGATCAGCCATGATAGTAAGAAAGGAGTGTGATTAGCTTTTGTCTTGGATGAATGAAGACGGGGAAACAGTGATTCCCACAGATGGCGCCACTGATCGTACCTGACCATATTGGACCGTCACAGCTTACATCGAGCAGAACTTGAGAGTGAGATGGGGGATACCTACAAGACACTCCGATGTCAAAGTGAGATTCGGAATGAGCTAGCAAGTAAGAGAGTGAGAATTTGTTCAATACCTGACTCTCTCAGAAGAGAGGATATTTATAGCCCCCAGCTTTGGGCCAAGGTCCCCATTGTTGGGCCATATTGAGGCCCAATAACAGAAACTGTCAGGGCTTACGTGTGTATGGAGTCCAGCTAGTGGACTTCCCCTTGGTCAACTGCTCCATGAAAATAGGGGTTGGACCCGTGATTTCCGGAGGGTAATTAAGAAGACTGTGACGTGGGGATGTGGGCCACGTTCTCCAACGGATATGTGGGGAGTTGTCTAATGGTCCCTAACTTAGATTGCTTGCTTTTGAGCCTTATACAAGAGTGTTAGATTGGACCTCCCAACTGGAGGACAAGTGCATGCCCAATTCAAATTAGTTTTGAGGGAAGAACTAGTCTAATACCTTCGTATGGGGCCTCCATGTTGTAAGCACTATAATGATGAGATTGAACCAATGATGCATGTCCTTGAGGGATTGTTTAATGACTATGAGTATTTGGCTCAATGTAATGTATACTACACAAAGAGAGCTTTTCTTTTTATTTGATCTTGATAATTGGATTAAATTTAATTGGAATAATGAATTGGGTAAAGATCAAAATGGTTTATGGTCTCTTGCGAGGGTGGCGGCTTTCCATATGATTTAGTATTTGTTTAACAAGTATGTTCATGAGGAGCAATTCACTTTCCCTACCTATCCTAGTGGAAAATTGTGGAGCTACAACTCTGCATTTAATTTCATTGTAATCTTTTCTATCTAAATTTCGGCCTTCTTATCTTTCAAAATAATTAAAATGCCTAGTGTAACACAACAAGAAAATTTAATATATTATATATCATACGAAACCATCTTAAATTTGTACAAAAGATATATATGATACAAATAAAGTATATAGGAAATAGTAAAAGGTGGTCATTTTTTATATATTTTGATGTGTCTCCACCTTGATTCCATGTAGTTACTAATATGAGCAGGTGCAGCATAAACCCCACATTTGAAGTACAAATCACCTGGCCCATGATCCTTTGTTTGAAACTTGTTCTCTCCATCAATGAACACACTCACTATTCCTCCATCCACATCATGTATGATATTCAGTCTGAACCATTTATCATAAAGATTCTCAGCCACTAAGTCTGTGAAGTAATACCTCATATCTCCGTTGTATATTCTTAGTATCAATGTCGTAGCACACCATCTCCTGAACCATGAATCTGTGCTATTGTAGCACCTGATGTTCCCTTTGGCACATACCCATAACCTTCAAATTGCCAAACACCAGAGTGGTAGTCAAGCCCCTGCGTAGTTCAAAGAATACTTCTATGTTAAAGCATAATCGATATATATATATATATATATATATATATATATATATATATATATTTAGACGAAGAATATGATATACCTTTATGCGAATCTCTGTGCGTGGCTGAGTAGGGCTACCAGGAGAATAAGGCTTGTCGTGAGCATAAACCCAAAATCTATGAACACCATCAATGAAACTATACCTTTGCTCAACTGGTATGTTGTATGGCTTCTGCACCACAAAATTTGCTTCGGTTAAAGGGACAGAAGTAAAACCATATGTAGGATCTTCACCATATACTCGCACAATGTTTTCAATAGACACTAGAAGAAGGAACAAAGGTAGAATCACAAAAATGTTAGAGCTTCTCATTTTTCCTTTAATTTCTCAAACACTTCATTTCTGCTATAGAATGGTATATGAGATTAGCGTGTATATATAGACACTCAAAACACACACACAAATATATATTATAAGCAAATTCGTGAATAAAGTCTAAGTAAGCTTCATATGATTTTCTTCTGCTGGATATTGGAATGCTGACTGTAGTTTGGGACTCATTGGAATAAATATGCTAATTTTTAATTTATACGGTGCGATAGTTTTGGACTCATTTAAATATGCTAATTTTTAATTCATCTTCGAAACATACTGATTTTCCTGATAACTATTTTGACGTTTGGGAACCGTAACTATTCAAAACACTACAACAACAAAAATCTCAACTCACATCCAAGTAAGATTGAATGGGTCACAGCAAGTGTTTGTAGATTTTATGCGTCAAATTTCATGGTTTGGAAGTTCAACATGTAAAGTATGAGTAATCCATAATTATTAGAGTAGTTATTCATTTGAGAATAAGAGTCCCTTTGTTTTACCTTTAAAAAATTAATTTTTTCTTTTAATTAAAAATTTTAAATATTAAAAGTTTTTTTAAATTAGTTTTTTTATAAATTAAAAGATTAATTTTGACATCATATAATATAAATATATATTATTAAAAATTAAAACATAGTTGAAATTACTATATTTTTTTTTCAAAAAAATATATCTCGGTTGATTTTTATAAAAATTTATTTGAAATAGTTTCAAATTTATTTGGAAGTAATTTGGTCAACATGTTGTATCAGAGTTTAAGTCTTGTTATAAGAGTAGTCATCTCAAAAAATAGGATGATTTTAAATGATTCACTAGACAAATCTTTATTTTTTAATAGTAAATGGTATTCTTATTAGAAAGTGAAAATGATATTTAAGTCGTCGTTAACAATGACCTCTTTGTTCCCGAACACCAAGTTGATGGTAATGTGGAAAACAAATCTAGAGATCTTTGGACCAAAAAGGATAAATAAGAAAAAACATTATTGTTTGCAAGTTAAACCTATTGTCACTACCGACACTTAATATTGATGAGTTTTTTTTTTCTTTTCGAGTTTCACATTGTTATTCTATAAAAGATATCTGGGACATCCTTCAAGTTAACCACGAAAGTACAACTGAGATAAAGAAGGATTAGGATGAACACATTGACCCGTGAGTATGAATTGTTTAGAATGAAACATATTCTGGACTGGCCAAAATTATCCAATTGACTAAGATCCAATCCATCTCAAGCCCACTCTACTCGACCCAATATATAAAAATAGTTCACATGTTATTAGAAGGTACACAATATATGATCTCCAACTTCACTATACTCATCTTGAGTCTTGAACTGACTTAGGTGTTGTAGGGATAATCTTGTAGGTCAACTATGTGCCCCCATAAAGGAGGTCGGAGACACCGTCTAAGATCAACAATTATCCAACTCTCTTCATCTTCGGTTCCTTCACGGAGCTAGAGCATCCATTTCTGATTCCCTAAACGAAACAATGGTGTCATCTGTGAGAATCGACTTCTGATTCCTGCATTTTCCATCACTTTGCAAACATCGTCGAACAAATTCGGAAGTTCCACAACTGAAATCTTGCTATTCAAATCCAAGTCTCTAATTTACCAGTTTGTAACCTCCTTAGGTTACCAAATCAAGATCGAATCATTTTCTGACTCTAATGCTTCTGGCGAATCAACAATTGCTTTTCAAATTCACTATTTACTGCTTCCTTAGACCTTCGAGTAGAGAAGCATTCAGAGATCTATTACAGCCGATTCAACCACTCACCATTCTAGACGCGATTCTCCAAAGTCCAGATCTCCGATATTCTCGAGGACTCCTCAAAATAGCAAAGGGAAAACCTCGAGATCTAGACCTAAATATAGCTCGTGGTTTAAAGACAATTTCCATGAAGATCGGACTGACAACTTGTAGTTCACCTTCTGGAATGGTAGCGCCCATATTACTCACCGCTTTTAGGGTCTCTATGGGTGCAAAATCAGGAGATACCAAAAGTTCATAGTCAAAGTCGGACAAATATTCAGTCATGGGATACCCTTTATGGGTGTTAAAGAACTTTCGGTCGATCAAAGAGCCTATTCCAAGTAGGGCCTACCATTTTCTTTATCGCATGACCCAGTGCCATCTACTAAATTCGAGAAGAAAAAATAGCTGGTATCTTTATAATAGGGGTCACCTCCCTATAAGCATCACCCTCAACGACACGACTCTATTTTGGAGAAACCTCATCCTAGGGAGACAATTTTTCCTCATCCCGAGCCCCCTTCCTCGAATCCAGAGGTGAGTTTGGTTCCTCCACTAACAAAGTGGTCACGAAATTCAAAATAAGATCCACCTCGAGCACAAGATCCAAAGCTTTTATAGCCGAGGTAGGACAAGGGGGTGGAGCCTAATGTCGCCAAGTTGCAAGTGCACGACAATGCCAAGTACTATAATAAGATTGAACCCACTAGGAGATGTGGATGAGTACTGAATTTTATCCTAACAATGTTTAGCTAAAGCGAATGCAATATTGGTTGGTTTAGTGTAAACTAAAATAAAATTAATAGATGATAAAATTAGGACACAGGGTTATGATCATCTATTAAGACTTACCCTATTGATTATCTGAATTCGAACGCGAGAATATCTAAGCAATTTATAGAAAAGTAGATAAATATGTACGACACCCACTTTTGTGGCATGCATATCTAGACGTATTTTTGGCATGGATAAGCGAATTTCTCAGTCGAGAGCGAGTCGCCTTGTCACGGCGGGTGCCTCGCTACTCTATTGTTTAGTAATCTACGGTCTGATATAGATTCATATCCTTTCAGACTATGATCGTATTTGGGTTGCCTTTTCTTTCGCAATCGGCACAAATATATTTAAGATTTCAAATTCTGAAATAAAAACACATATAGTTCTTGTAGTTCATGTTCGACTAAATCAATTGGGGATCATCATTAAATAGACTCTCACGACCCCTTGTCCTTATAAAACTACTCACTCATGGTGAGGTAAACAACAATTAAGCAAGTAAAGAACATATCATGCAAAGTAAATAAAGTAAAGTCTAAGTTCCTTAGTTTTAAGGATTGACATTAATTTTTGTAAAACAAATATAGCAACAATATGTTAGATATGATGTATTTACTTACTAGCAGGAACAGGTTGAGCAAGAAGTCCTATCTTATGTTAGGACATGTTGAGTTAAAGTATTTCAACGTCTGGAGTAACATGTCTGATAAGATGTCCTATGAAGGAGCATATGACATCATGCCTGAGCTGAAGTAGACAATTAGATTCTGTTATGGTTTAACTGATGCATGATATTTTGGGAATATTATGAAATCCTATGTTGCGCTAATTTAAAGGTCAAGAAGAATCAAAGAAGAAGATTGAAGAATATATAGTTTCTAAATTTGGAGATAATTTAGGAAGATTTGATTGAAGACCTTAATTGTAGTAGAAGTTACTATTGATTGTTATAGTTAATATGTTGTATTTTGAAGGCCCAAATCTAGTTGGGTATAGGTTATAAATAGAAGTGTTTGTAACCTAGGAAAGGTACGGGTTCAAGATGTAGAAGTCTAGGGCTTTGTCTTTTTTCCGCTCTCTAGGAGAGTTGGTGTAAGTAGACCACTCCGATTGTAAGATGGTCACTGTTGTTCTCACTTAGAAGTTGTGAAGTAATGAGTTAAGTATTATTCTTGGAGGAAGCTTTGGAGCAACTCCAAGTTGTAGTCTTAGTCAAGAGTCTTGGGTAGATATTGTCATGGAAGTGTGTCTTCTTGTTTGTTTGGAATTATGTTGATCCAATTTATGTTTGTGATTGAAGAGGGATTGAGAAGAACCTCATATTTAGGTGAGTCTTAGATAGAAATCTAGCAAGGGTAGTGATTAAGTGATTAGGCTATAAACTGGAGGTTTATTGTAGGATCTATGAATTGATACTATCATAGTGGATTTGTCCCTGACTTGGTATGCCCCCAGAGTAGGAGAGTTACTCCGAACTGGGTTAACACTTATGGTGTGTTATTTATGCTTTTTAGTACTTTTTAATTGTTTATACCTTACTTGTTTGTTTATGTCGGATCAGATGTCCCAACATGTCAGAGGACATCTGAGTTTTGTCATACCAAAATTTCATAAAGCAATTGAAAATAAAGAACCTGGATAAAAGAAATCTTGATTTAAATAATATAAAAAACACAGAACATACAACAATGTTGCAGAGGAAACACAAACAAGAGCCAAGAACCAAAGCTGGAAATTAAGTGTATGAAAGTAACAAGTCATATCACTCCTCAAGCTCAAGTGCTCTATATATACAAAAACTATCCATTAATAACTCATAATCACTAATTATTTCGTGCTCAATCATTAAAACTCGCTAACATCAAGTCTTACAAGGTTTTAGATGTCCAAAAGTCACAAAATTCCTAAAAACCCATTGAATTCGCAATCGTCGATGGGCGCAACATAGATGTGTCACCTGATCATGTTAGGCAACACGACCCGTGTCAGAGTAAACTAAAGATATGAACCCATTCACTTTTTACTTTCTATCAACTCAAATCCATCCTTCAAGTTTTTTTTATTCAGATTAAAGTTGGGCCATTGTCTATTTTAGAGCATAACATCATCCCCCAAAAAGGATTCTTGGAAGTGGATGCATTCCAATGATAGTCATTTATCAGTAAAGTTGTCCTACCTAGTTTTGATTAGACCTTGCTTACATGTTGAGGATTTCGTTAACATTGTTATTTCCCCTTGTTAATTGAATGTTTTAGTTTCTCCATTGATGTTGATAGGTGGGGGTAGTGGTTGCAAGATAAATATGAGATTTATTATGTGAAAATGACATATTATTTTCTTCTTAAGATTTCTCTTAATCAGTTTAATATCCATCATAATGTTGGTAGGATCCTACCTCTTATTTGCAAGAGTTTGATCTCGTCTAAATTTATTGTTTTCTTTTGGAAACTCCTATGAGG